AGTCTTGTAAGAAGGAGACAATCCCCTATGTCCCTGTTCTATGCCTCTGGCTGGAGTTATATTTGCTCAGTGGGGTCAGTCAGTTTTGTCAAATCCACTGAATTTCTCAGAGTAGGTATTCAACCATATCTCGAAGAATCAAATATTTTTTGGATATCAGCTGTCCAGGCTCTCTTTGATTTTAAGAAAGCAAAAATACCTTCCTTAAGGTTGCAATTCATCTGGAGGACAAAACTCTTTTAGTACATAATGGAGAAGAATCTTGATGCAAGATTGGAATGCGCTGCCCTAGGGAGCTGTTTCTATCACTGATGGTCTAGGATGGAGCCCCAGAATGGTCATTAACAAATATGAATAATGGGATGTGCATTTGACTCACTTTATGTCTTCTGAGAACCTCAAACTCAGTTGCCTTTATAGATAGCTACATGATAATATTAATAATCATTTAATAACAATGTATTAATGATAGCAACAATTGTGTTAATATTAATAAAAATAAAATTGATATCTTCATAACTTTAAAAAAGTTAACTTTTTTATTTTCAGGGAAAACATCACAGATTTTATGTCATATAAATTTTGCTTTTATTCTGAAGAAAAATCACTAAAAATTCAGTTTTTTTTTAAAAACTAGACATTCCCTGGGTCCTTAAAAGATTTGCAGACCCCAGATGCAGTATCTCCTGGACAATCTGTCTCCTGCCAGTGAAGGGGAAGCTTTAGCTGGCTGTGTGGGGTCCAGGCTGCTGATGTCCTGGAAATTGAAGTGAGTCCCATGTCACTGGGATCTAATTCTAAATTCTAAAGCTGATTAGCTGCAGAATATCAAATATTAGGTTCAAAAGTATAAAGGTAGCACAATTTCTAAGGGAACCACAGTTTAATGCTTAGAAAAAAGTCATATCTATACTTCTGACTTAACCTTATTGTGATGTAGAAGTGTGTTAAATATTTCCATGCTTTTCTTTCAAATTTTCTACAACTTAAAGAATTATCTTGAGTCCATAAATTATCTTGAGCCCAGAGTATGGTTTCATGTTGTGATTCTATTTAGCTGTGTGGCCTTGGGCATGTTCTGCCCTTCAGTGTTCCATAATTTTGCAAAAAAGAAGAAATTTCACTATATAATCATCCTCTCATTGTTATGTATATTTTCTACACTTCTGAAATATCATTAGTAAAAAGTCAAGAGAGAATAAAGGAGGCAGGTATACTTGGACCAGAATTTAAGAAATATTACTTACTGCAGTAGTGTTTAAAAATTAGCTCTGAACTTGTTATAGCTGAGAAATACACAAGTCTTACTACCTGAAGACAGAAAGAGTAGAGGTAGGTAAACTTAGCCACTCTTTGACAATTAGTTGTTTAGTTGGCTTCCAATGTTTCATTATCCCCAGAATAAGCAACTAATAATGTAATTTTTCTCCTCTTTGGTACAATTTTCATTATGTGAATTCTCTGGAACAGGGTTAGGTCAGAAATATAGATATGAACTTTTTCTAAGCATTATCCGTGTGGCTCCCTTAGAATTTGTTGTAGTTTTATACTTCTGAACATAAACACTAAGATGAATATCTGGGATACTCTTGGGAACGGTGATCTGTTTTCAAAGGATTAATATACACATACACCTTATACAAGCAATAGAAGTTGAACTGAGCTGGATTTCTTGCCAGTACTAATATGATTAAATTGCAATGTATGTAGTTCCTTTATGCAAGGATAGAGCGCACATCTTAATGAATTCCAAAAGAAACAAGTTGACAAAGGACCATAGGGAATAAAGTGGACAGCTTAGGTCTCAGGCACTCCTCTTACATGCAGGAGGTTGTTGAAGTTGCATTTCTGGTTCTTGCAAAGATATCCCCTGGTCTGGAACAGAGCTGGATTCCTTCTGGACTGAAGTGGCAGTGCTCAACATCCCCACTATTCTGGCTGTAAGGATAAAACTAGAGCTGAGAGTTCCTTTTCCTGGATCTCAAACAGCTTCTTCTGAAAGTGCACCCCTATTCTTCCCCAAGTGCTTCCAAAGAAGACAGCCTGAGGGAGAGGAAGTGGTGCTAATTAAAACCTCCCTCTGTTTTCCAGGCACAGGAGACTTTCGCAGATGTCTGTTGTTAGGCGCTTGTTCACAGAGTGTGGCAAATACAGAAGCAGGCTTTCCTTCCCTAAAGGCACAACCCTCCCTCACAGGTTACAGGGAACTCTAGAAATGACTTACTTCCAACACCCACTGAGGGAGAGGAGGCAGACCCACAGAAACAGAGCATATAGCTTCTAGGGAGGCCAACATGCTCTTCTCTCTCTTTCTCTCTCTCTCTTTCTTTCTCTCAGACACACACACACACACCACATTTCACACACCACATATAACACACACAATTTCCTCTGTGTATCTCATATTTTTCACAGACCATTCTCTGACTTTTGTATACCTCACTTTTAAGCCATTACTTGAAAACTCAGCAAAGCCCTTCCTGTTATAAGGGGCAACACCATGTGGACACCTATGAGCCACTCTACAAGTGGTTGAGTGATGGGTGGGAGTTCAAGTGCAGCTATCACTCTCCAGCTGTGCCTGGGTAAATCCACCCAACTTTGAAGCCCAGAGAGTTGGCAGTGATGTCATCCTTCTAGGGCTGCTGGGGAATGGGATGAGACAACCTGTAATATGCACTGCAAAGGGCTTTTCATTTGTGAGTTCTAACCAGCTGTGTCTTCTCCCACACTCAAATTCCTCAGGGTGACTAAATGTGTCCATTTTGCCTGAGATAATTCCCAGTTTCTCCTATCATGTTGACTTAATTATCAGCAATTAATAAATGTCCAGGTTTAAGCAATAAATGACAACCTGTAATATGCACTGCAAAGGGCTTTTCATCTGTGAGTTCTAACCAGCTGTGTCTTCTCCCACATTCACATTCACGGTGGCTATATGTGTCCATTTTGCCTGAGATAATTCCAAGTTTCTCCTATCATGTTGACTTAATTATCAACAATTCATAAATGTCCAGGTTTAAGCAATAAATGATATGATCATACTATCCTTACCTCCCTTGAATATTCTCATTAATTCTAACTAAAAAAAAAAAAGTAAGCTTGCTGGGGAGAAGAGCTCTTTTTCACTTTCTGGTGTTTCATAAATGTGTAGGAAATTGCATGGAAATATCTCTGTCTGATGAAGAACACCAAGGTGATCCTAGGAGTACAACAGCACTCCCTGCCCACAGTTCAGAGTGAAATTGCTGTGAAATATTCTTTTCACCCAGCATTAGCCATGACCTTGCTCCAAGAATGGCTCTCTGTCCCAGCTTGGAAATGACTACCTAACTGAAGGACACTTCTGTTTAAACTACTATGTGTCTCTTGTTTTGTTTGTTTTATACTTACCAAAAAGAAATGTTTCTTGTTATATTGATTTTAAAATATCTATTTGATCATTGTAAGCATCCAGATCCTTAAGAAACCAGAAAATGAAAATCACCATAGCTATCATCCAGAAATAGCCATTGTTAATATTTTATTTACTGTCCAATCTGTTTTTATAATAGCTGGTATATCATCCGTGTGTATATATATATATATAAATGTGCATGTACATATATTTTATATTCCATGTATATATATATGGAAGTCCAAGAATTCTTCCTTCCCTTCTTTCCTTCCTTCTTATTCTTCTGAAATTTTAACAAATGTAAATAGCATTATTCATCAGTCATTTTATAATTGACTTTTCTATAGAAAACAGTGTACTTTGGACATCATAAAAAATATTCACTGGCATTTTTTTAAAGATTTATTTATTTGCGCATACAGAACTGGGCTTCACCAGAGACAGAGTGTGGAGCAGAACAGGCAGATTGACGAAGTACACTGCTGGGTCAGGAGAGGTCTGCCATGCCATGTGGTCGCCTCCAGGGCAGGCGTGAATTGAACTCATGCAGAAGTGGCTTTAGCTTCTCAGTGGTGTGCTTTAACTGGTTGCGCCACCAGGGAGGGCAGTCACTGGCATTTTTAAAAAATATTTATTTATTTATGTATACAGAACTGGGTAGTGGTACAGGGGCGGTGAGAGGGTTCACCAGAGACAGAGTGGAGAGCAGAACAGGATGACTGGTGAAGTACACTGCTGAGGGGAGCAGCGGGTAGGTCAGGAGAGGTCAGCCTCGCCATGTGGATCTCCTCCAGGGTAGGCAGGGATCGAACTCATGTTGAAGCAGCTCCAGCTTCTTAGTGCTGTGCTTTAACCTGCTGTGCCACTAGGGAGGGCCTCAATGGCATTTTTAATGCATGTGCATTATTTAGCCAAGTCCTTACTGATGTATACTTAATCTCACTATATACTTTTTGAACATAGATATTTGATAATGTGGTTATATTATGCACAATATTTAGCTATTAGATATTAAGCTGCATTTTTTGTTATTAAATGTTATTGACAACTTGCTGCATTTTTAACACTTGGTCATCTGTCTATATCACTTCCTTAAGACAGATTTTTAGAACCATTATGTTTTACCTAAAAATTATCCTCAGTTCTAATACTTTGTGCCCTATTGCTACCCAAAAAGCACATAGGAAGATAAATTTAGATTGCGTTTAACTCTTAAATAGACTTACAGGCTGGTGCGTTTTTAAACAAAAATGCTCTGAAATCTTAAAAAGAAATTATCTGATATTTTTTTTCTTCCTGCTCTTCCTTGTTCTTGGCTGGTCTCTGGAATTAAAGATGGGACTTGCAGCCTCCTTTTGTACAGAGTCCAGAGGGGCTCTGGTTCTCTCCCTGAAAATTAGCCTGCAGTGCTCCCTGCCACACTGTGGAATCTGTAACTGGACTACATCCTTGGTGCCTCTGTAGTTTACATGGAGGCTCTGTCAGTTGTATGCATATCATTTGCTCACAGTAGCCTATTTCACTGTGACTAGGACACAGGCAACTACTTTAAAAATTAATAATAATAATAAGCTTATTTCTCCCATGTTTTTAGGCTAAAGAAATGTCATCAATTGGGAGCTTTGAAGGATTCCAGCCTGTGTCTCTGAAGCAAGAGGGAGATGACCAACCATCTGAGACTGATCAGCTGTCCATGGAGGATGGAGACTTAGGCAAGGACCCAGTACCATCAAGGTCTACTTCAAGGCAGCCAAGTGAGATCAGATCAACACTTTATCCCAATCCTTATCATCAGCCTTACATCTCACGGAAATACTTCGTTACACGGGTAAAATGATAAACTCCTTGATGTTCTTAAGTACTTAAATGCTAAAAATTAATATCCTCCTACATATCACATTTTATCATATGTTTCACATTTATTATCTCATATAATAGTGACAGTAACTGTCCAGCCCCATTTTACAGGTGAATAATCTGAATTTCAGAGAAGTTAAAGGTCTGTTTTTGTTCACCAGATAATATCAAGGAGAAACACCTCCTCTGGACTCCATGATCTTTGATTCCTTAATCCTTTGTTCATGCTAAACCAACTTTAAAGTATTTTTTTTTTTAGGATGTATTTGTTGCTGCAAACAGAATGGGGTACAGGCAAGAGGTGCAGGGGTGGTGAGAGGATTCACCAGAGACAGGCTAGGGAGCAGAACAGACATATGGAGTGAAAGACACTGCTGAGGGGAGCAGCAGGAGATACGAAAGGTCTGCTGTGCCATGTGCATCACCTCCTTGTCTGGAGATGGAACTCATGCTGAAGCGGCTGTGGCTAGTCTCTCAGGGCTTTGCTTTAACTCATTGTGCCACCAGGAGGGAGCCCTAATGTATTAAGGCTCTATAGAGAGAGGAGCAGAACAACTAGGATATTAATCTAGGAGCCTAGAGTGTGTACTTCTATGTTTGTACAGACATGAATGATGAATTGGAAAGATTGGCTGAGAATGAGCTGAACCTCAGTCGTCTCCGATGGGATGCTGCTATCGGAGTGTGGGCATTTTCTGCTAGGCAATGCTGCTATCAGCAAGTACTTTCAGATCTCAAATTTGTAGTGCTACCTGGAGCTGAGCTGTTGACCCTGTGCGTTGGAACTAGGGTCATTATTGGATGGGTGACTAATGTGGATAAGTTTGGTATATCTAGATTTAAAAAGTCATCATTTTAAAGTTCTAGTATTTGGATCAAGTAGTGAGCATTTTGTTGGTTTCTAATACCTTTCTCTGTTCTGACCTCAGCTTCCTACTGAGAGGTCTTTCTCAATCCTTCAACATTTCAAATGGGAAATACAATAATGATTAGATCATAGGCTGCAACAATTTAGAGTAAAATGAGGATTTGTGCACTGGAGTAACAGAGACCATTTCATAGTTCAAGTGTGCATGAGTCATTTATTTGATGGATGATTTATTTCAGTTTAATCTCGTAAATATGTAGTGGTAAGAGTTTGAATTTTTTTTTATAAAGCTTTAGCTAATGACTTCTGATTGGTAGCTTTTGATCTATCTATCTATCTATCTATATAGATGTAGATAGATACACACACACACATATGGTTAAGGTAAAGTTTTAATAAGAGCAACTGAGTATATGTGTGCGCATGTGTCTGAGAGAGAGTATCAAGATTTACTATCATATCACGTATATTCAGCAACTCATGCAAGGTGATTTGGTGTTATACTATGCGTATGTTTGTGTGTGTTCTAGCATATGTAGAGCATATGGTTTGTTTTCCAAAGTATGTGAACTTAATTGCATATGTAATGTTAAGTTATGAGCTACAGCTATGAAAGAAGTCAAAACATTTTAAAGATTTTGGGTCTTTGTATTCATGATGTGTCAATCACAGTTTGGTGAAAGAAGAATAACTATGAATGATATAGAATAAGGGATTTATCACTAGAAACTGGTGCAATTATGAGAATTGACTAAGGACTATGCCTCTTGTGAAGGATCTGAAGTTGCTGTAGATCAGAAAATTGAAACTTGTGAAAGAAATATGAAAAAACTGGATCCTGTGGACAAACTGGAATTCCCCATGATTAAGTGAAATTCATGAGGTAAAACTAGGGACAATATCCCCCACTAAATTGAAACTTGAAAAGGTGACACACTTTCAGGAGAAGCTAGTACCTTTCTCTACTGAGCTGTGCAGCTTCCCAGCCTAGTGGATGGGACTCAGAGGAGGGAGTGTGGCTGTAACACAGTGAGCTGGAGGCCCAGGTGCTCCCACACTGCTAAGTGATGTAGGGAACCAGCACCGAGAAAGGACTTGCCACAGAGATGGGCGGCCCACACACATCTTCATCAAGGACAATGACTGATGTTACTTTGGTGCCTCTCAAATCTTACACAAATGTCTCACATGGCTAATGCTAAGTAAGTAGACAGGAAAAGGAATCCTAGAAAATATAAGTCCAGTCTTCCAGTCTACTTAAGTAGATGCAGTCAAAACCACCACAGTGGCTTTATTTATTTGCATGAACCTATTATTTGTGAACACATATTTTATAAAACAAAGGAGCAACACTATGAAGTAGCCAGAGAACTGCTTCTCACTTACATTTTAATGCTAAACACATTAACGTTTCAGAGGTGTGATGTGACCAGTGCCGGTCACATAGTATTTATCAGTGGAGGAGTTATAGCTTGAATCTGAATTTTCTGTCTGTAGTTCCATGTTTTTTCTACCAACTTCCACCATCAATTTCATGGCCCATCTACAAGGGTTTTTAATGACTGGTTCTGATTCATGTAAAGAACAATGTCTTTTCCATCAGGTGTATAGAAAACAACCTTAAGTTCTCAAGAATTTGGGAAGGAATACCTTGTAAGCTTATTAATGAGTCTTAAGCAGAGCTGAGGACACTTGAGGAGCTATGAGGGCCATTCCCAAGCATGCAACATTTACTCTTCTTCACATCAAGACTATAATATAAAGAGTTCTTTTTGGCATGTGGATATGCTGAATGTTCTTTAAAGCAGATGTGGATAAAGAAAATCTAACTTGGTTTGACTGAAACTTACAATGAAACATATATTTTTGAATAAATGCAGTGATGATCCATATTTATATTTTGTAAACAGCAATCTGCTAACGTAGTGCTTGGTAGTTGAGACAATGGCTGAGTGAATGTGGGTATGTATGTGTGTCTATGTATTCATCTATTTCCTCATCTGCAAAGTGTGAATAAAAGGTCAGTTTTATAATGGGTAGAAAATTTCCTGTCTTTACAAGAGTTCTTTGTATACTTCATGACCAGTTATTAAAATTCCTTACGTGCCGTCTCATTGTTATTATAATTTTTTATCTTATTATTTTTTAAATATTTATTTATTTATGCATACAAGAACTGGGGTGCAGTCCAGAGGTGCAATGGGGAGGGTGAGATGATTCACCAGAGTGGGGAGTAGAACAGGCAGATGTACTGAATACACTGTTGACAGGAGCAGCTAGTAGATCAGGAGAGGTCTGCTGTGCCATGTGGGTTATCTCCCTGGCTGGGGATTGAGCTCCTGCGGAAGTGGCTGAAGATAGCCTTATAGCTTTGCACTTTAACCTGTTGCACTACCAGGAAAGGCCCCTCTCTCTTTTTTATTAATTCGACATTTGCATTTCTGTTACTAGCCATTGGGAATGACTTGAATATACCTGTGACCTATAGGGTGAGATGTAAATGTAGATGTGTAGGACCTATAGCAATAAAAAAGTTTCTGGCCCTCCCTGGTGGTGCAGCAGGTTAAAGCACAGCACTGAGAAGCTAAAGCCACGTCCACATGAGTTCGATTCCTGCCTGCCCCGGAGGTGACCACATGACGTGGCAGACCTCTCCTGACCCGCCCACTGCTCCCCTCAGCAGTGTACTTCGTTGATCTGCCTGTTCTGCTCCCCACTCTGTCTCTGGTGAAGCCTCTTGCCACCCCTGAGCCTCTGGCCTGTACCCCAGTTCTGTATGTATAAATAAATAAATCTTTAAAAAAAAAAGTTTCTAGTGGTGAATGGTAATTTTCTCAAAGAATAACTAGATAAGACAAAGGCTATGAATGATTCAGGTCTGAGATTCATCAGTAGCACTATACTTAGAATACAAATGCAATCTATATATAGATGGTCTACTCCAGGGCTTCTCAATCTTTATCATGCAACCAAACCACCTGGGGAGCTTGTTAAGTTGCTAACCTAACTTGGGTCTGAGGGAGGCCAGAGATAATGCATTTGTATAAATCTCTGGCAATGTTGATGCTCTCTGTCCTCAGATTATAGTTTTTGCTCCAAGAAGTTAGTCAACAGTCTTTTTCAGAGACCACTAAATCCCTGTGAGGGTTTGTGGTTTGCCCAGTGTCTTGCCAGTTAGTGGTCACTGACTTGCCCAAGAGACTACTAAGTGGCAAAGCTAATGTTACAACCAAAACTTCCAAATTCCCAGTTCATAGTTCTGTGATTCTAAGCAGCAATTAAAAATAAATTAATTTATTTCAGAGTAAAAATGCTTAAAGTATGTTTGTTGCAATATTGAATGGGGGTATGCCTTGGCCAAGCATTTTATGTTTTTAATGTTTTTAACTTGTACCAGAGGAACTGGATTATTGAGAACTTTGGAAAATGTGAATAAGCAAAATGAAAGTTACCATAATCCCACTGCTCAAAGTTAACCACAGTATATTGGATATGTTCTTAAACATTTTGCTGCATATTCTTTCTTACTTTTCTTTCTTACGTGTGCAGTGTATTGCATAAAAAATGTGATTATGTGCCAAATATCTCCTGTTTCAATAAATATTCCCATAACATCATTTTTAACAACTTTGTGGCATCCCACTATGGACTTGTACTAAAATTAAACTTTTGTTGGTTATTTAGGTTGTTTCTATTTATATATTTTAATTGGTAAAAGAAAGTTATTCCTTGGCTTGCGTTGGCAAGATGACATTTAGTTTGTCAAGTGCCATGAGTAAGCAAGCTCTCAATACTATAAGAAGGATCAATTACTTGAGTTTCAAATGTAAAGTTATTACTGACATGGAAATACAAATGAATTCAGAACAAATTTATTATAATCAATACACTGACTCTAGTAGTGTGGCTTTCTTCTCATTTACTTATGGAACCTGTACCATTTTGAGACAGCTTAGCAACATTATTGCTTAGAGTTAGAAGGTGGATTAGATATTATCTAACCCCACCCCTGAGGCACACAAAGGTGATGTGACTTGTCCAAGGTCACCCAGCAATTTTGGGATCATATGGGTACTGGAAGCTAAGCTTGCTGGCTCTTCTTA